TCGCCGGCATCGTAGTCGGCATCATCAGTCAGTTTTGCCATTCGCCGCACCAAGCTACGAACTCGTCAAAAAGACAAATGAAGTCAATGCCTCGACAAACGTTCTGCCGAAAACGGTTACACTATTACTCCTCTTTCTGTCTTGGCCTATCTATTTACTCTTTACCCCCTTAACCAACTACCGCTATCACAACTCCTCACTTGTTTGCATTCCACTTCTAAAGATAAGTAATGTAGTCGATTGCTATAGCAAATACAACTTTGCTTCATTGACAATCTCACCAGAAAATGTGATATAGGAAATGCCTGGCATTTCTTGATATTCACATCTGCCCTGTATCCCAAGGACACTCGTGGCATTATGGTGTAGTGGCTAACGTGTCGAGATTCAATGGAAGCATCAACTCTACTCATATCATCGTAGGAAAATTCAACTAACCGTCCTTCATTATCTTAAATAAGATAGGGTGAATACATCTCATATACATGGATCAGATTGTTTGTTTATTAAATATTCTCATATAAGCCTATACTAACTTTAAATCATCATTAGCTCAAGTTTAATATTATTTTACAAATATACTGATAGCCTTAGAGGCCAAAGTTGTATGCTCTTTGAAATATCACTAGAGTACCTGGGTGGGCAATATTGTGAGACATTCATTTTGTTTAGATATAAATCAAAATTTACTTGAAGCGCTCTGCAAACGGGATGAAGGAGTATTGTAGATGAAGAGAGTTATAAGTGCATTTGATAAGAGGAGTGTAGGAATTGGTGGCAAACGCCTTCATTATGAAGACGAAATAAAAATAAAGAACAAAAAGTGATATTGAAATGGCTCTATGAAGTTCATGTACTGACTAAAATTTCAGCGCAATAAAGTAACAGAAAAAGATTCGTTCTGCAAGCATGCATTGTGGATCGGACAGCTGATAAAATGAATATATGGTATTAGACATGTTGTTTATGCCTCTGACAGATAGGCGCAGAATTGACCCTGCTAAACTTTAAAATGCCTCAAGGAAAACCTTAAATATTAAATGAAGAAATCTAACTAAGAATGATTAAATGAAAGGCATTGTCTCAAAAAAGGTGTGCTGCGTTTTAGACTTCGCTACGAATGAGTAGACATTCGGGAGGCAAATCTAAGTAAAGTTTAGTTTAACCATGAAGCTTACTCTCATCTTCATGGAAATACCCATTATTAATACTTCATCACTTATTAAGGTCTACTAATTACATATATAAATGAAAGACGTCAAAGAAATTCATAGCAACTTAGGGCCTTTTGGTACATAATATTAGAATTAGAGCAACTGGTATAGGACTATATTGATAGAAAGAAACCAGATTCGCCTTATTGAAAACCCTAAGTGAAGAAGATTTTCAATAAGAGGCTAATAAAAGTATCATTACCTTGGCAATAATCCTTACGGCTGTATTTTTATCAGCTTCATCATCGGAAAAAACTAGATCGCAAACGCTATCAAAAAGTTTTGACAGGTGCCGCATGACTTTTGCTGGAACCTTTCCATTACTCACAATATCCATGAGATCAACCTGTGATACAAAGTAAAATCTTGGAAACACAAGTCGTTTTGTCTCAAGGTAGTCAGCCAATGCCTTCTCACAGACGGTGAATCCATCTCTAATCGCTTGAAGCTCTGTATATAGTTCTTTTCGCTGAGTCGTTGCATCTATGACTTTTGGCTTATTCCGTATTTCTTCAATAAGTTGTTTGAATTCAGCATCATGTTGAAGAAACAACTGCGTGTCTTCTGGTAATTGAGATTTAATATCATCACACAGCACAAAAATAGACTCCAGCCCACACCAAACGCGTTGAGTTTCAAACCACAGAGTAAGTACCTTAAAAAATTATATAAAATAACTAGGTGAGTGGCAGAGTAATAACTACGCATCCCATTTATTTTCATACATCCAATTAAACGTTCCATCAAATTAATTGCTATTTGCAAAATATGTTTACCGTGATAATAAAGTACCCCGAAATTATTAAGAGATTAAGACAGTGAGTGAATTAGCAATGAGGATCTATAGAACTACCAAAATAAGTGCTTACGACGTTTTAGATTTCATCAAAATAAAACTTTAACTCTGTATAGTTTTTGAGGATTTTTTCAGGGAATAAAATATTCTTTGAACATAAGGTCATGAGCTTCGTGGGTGCAGTTTTATTTTACATAAGTTTACTTTTTAATTTTGACCAGCCACACCAATACAATCTATATATTTTTCCAAAAGCAAAATCTTTTATTCAGTATTGTAAGATAGATATGCTCCAATTATTCCTTGATAATCTGTTGTCTTGAGCCCAATTAGGTTGGATTCCTTGTTGCCTTTCGTTCTAAATTGTCATTTTAAATGAGTATCCATTTCATAGTAGCATGAAGCTCAATATTTAAAAAACGAAAATAGTTTTTTATTCCTAAATTATCAAATAATTGCCTTAATATGACTCCATTATGTTGCTTTCTGGTCCCATTGCCTTTGATTTGCGAAACTTTGAAAGATGGAGATAAAATTATTCTTGAGAATGGGAGCATTTGTACTGCTCCAGGAGCCAAATGCACCATAATTGCTTGTCAATGAGTTTAGATAAAAGTACTTCGTATGCCAGTATTTAGCGCCCAACCTGATGTTTAGCCAAATAAATAAAGTATAAAAACAAGTATTGGATAAAAAATTGGCTTATCTTCTGTACTTTAACACATTAAAACCGAATTGTAATTCTAAATAAGGGATTTTTAGGAACAATAATACTTTTGTAGGTAAAAAGCATGTTACAGTTATTTTCAAATGAGAAAAATCCCCATAATGTGAAACATAACAATTATGCTAATCTATACATTTTTTTCGTTTGATTACTATAATTTATGCAAATTACTTTAAAAACCTGTCTAGCATTTCAATTTATTTATTAATAAAAATGCAAGTTACCTTTTCATATTTATGATAGACTCAACTATTACCTGATCTGTTGTTGATAATGTATTGTGCCAGAAATTAATTTTGCTTATTGAAAACGAATTGTCTCTATTTGCTAGCATCTCCAAAATTTTGACCTGAATCTCCTCAAGCGTTGTAGTTAGCTCTTCTGTTGCTTTAGGAAGTTGCAAGCCAGTTCTGTCGTGCTTCTCATATTCGAAATTCATATCCCTCCATGTTTGATCAATCTTTTCCAAGTCTCTCTCAATCTTTTGCTCATTAGAGGCCTTGGAAACAATTTCACGGACTTCTTCCTCAAACTTATGCAAGTTAAGAGATAGCAGATCAGCCAAGGTTGTATCATTATTAATTTCTATCTCGCGTCCGGTATCACGCATCAGCTCAATCCAATGTCGGTCCTGAACAGCAGGGTTTTGCAAATCTCGCACGGCCATGACTGATGCATTTATATCTTTCAGTTCCGCTTCTAGACCTTGGAACATAGGCCACTTTCTTACTTCCTTATCCAAAGAGCGTATCTCTAATGAGATTTCACAAATAACCTGTCAGATTTAATAAAAATGCGTACAAACTTTTAGAATATTATGCAATAGATGCTAAATATGCCTTTTAAATCGGCATACCTGCAGAAATGTGAACATGATTTCAGAACAATTTCAGCCCTGTGCTTGCTTACTATTACTATACTATCCTAAATCTACCTACTATACAAAACTCAGTGGTAATTAGAATAAGCGAAGCCGACATTTTGAAAAGCTAAGTCAAACTGTTGTAGACACCTCTAGCTTTAATAGCACTTCGTAAGGCCTCTAGTAGAAGTCAAACAATACAAAATTGTATATCTATTAACAAGAAATGTATTATGAATAAGTTCATGAATTGCCTGAGAGGAGAGTAGTGAGCCAAATTATCGCTTTTGTGGCATTTTTACTACGTTAAAACTGTAATTTATGCTATGCATAGGTAATGGAACTTCAAGGTGGAGCACAATCAAAAGAATA